GAGTATTAGCTTATTTCAGTAAGCTGCCAATGGTCCAGTGAGTACATTTTGAATATAATGATTTCAGGAAAATGAGTTCTTTTCAGAGAAGGGAAGTGAGGCCTAAGACATCACAGTGTACAATTCAATAAAGAAACTACAAACCCTTTAGAAATTTACCATGAGTTAGGGGCTGATGTTGGCTTTTTAACAACGTGTATTAAATGAATCTATAAAAATATAACATCCACAAGCAGCAATGTATAGTCTAGGAAAAGAAAACTAATGGAAATGAGAATGTTGGTAGATAGTTCTCCATGGGTCTCTCACACTGCTGCTCATCTTGCAAGCAATGCAGTGACTATCCTTCCGTCTGGAGTATCTTTTCAAGGATGTTTGTGGAGTTAACAGCCTTGGAAGACAGAGATAGTGTTTTCCTCTAGAGCAAAGACAGGTTTGCCAACTGTGCTTTATCAAAGATCGAAGTTCTCTAAATTCCATGTTCCTTTCCTGTGGTACAATACAGTATATCTAGTTCTTTTCACATCACTCGTGGTAACTGGGGCTTGGGTCTCCTAGTATCTTTCTTCCAAGTGCTCACATAACTTGATCAGTAAATAAATAGGCCAGTTTTGCCCTGACCCTCAAGGACAAGTACTTATTACTAATAACAAGCTGGGTGAGAAAGGTCACACACACTCTCCTCTTCCTATAGAAAACATACTAGGCAAAATAAATTTTGTACTATTAGTAAATTGTAAAAATCTCCCACATTAAACTATTTTTTCCTTAAATTACCTTTATGGTATTAGAATAACTAAAAGACATCTGGAAAAGAGAAAGTGGTAACTGGGGCTTGTGTCAGTATGCTGATACTCTGGCTCCTGCTGTCACTATGAATAATAGACTATCTTTTGTCTTTGACCCAGGAGTTTCGTATCTTCTACCAGCGTCCGTGAAACTGTGACCAAGTGACTTCTTAGCTTGCCAGTTGAGTAATATCTCAAATTCTTCATAGTTCTTGAGAGAAAAGTACTCTCTAGATTGCTGCTATACAAGTGTAAGTCACTCATGTGAGCCACATACATAATTTTCAGTTTGACAGAAGCCACATTAAAAGGCTAGAAACAGGTAAAATTAATTTTAATAATGTTTTATTTACCTCATATCTGAAATATTATCTCAACATGTAATCAATATAAAAATTACTAATAAGCTATTTACATTCTTTCTTTAGTACAAAGTCTTTAAAATCTGGGGTGTTTTTAATACTTATAATAAATCTCAATTCGTACTAGCAACATTCCAAATGCTCAGTAGCCACTGAGTGGCTTTCATTTTGGACAGTGCAACTCTAGACTGTAAAATATGGTAAAATGGAAGTAAAAGTTTTCAGGCCTGAAATAGATTTTTCTTTTTCTTTTTTTTTTTTTTTTTAAGATTTTACTTATTTATTTGACACAGAGAGAGAGACAGCAAGAGAGGGAACACAAGCAGGGGGAGTGGGAGAAGGAGAAGCAGGCTTCCCGCTGAGCAGGGAGCCGGATGCGGAGCTCGATCCCAGGACCCGGGGATCATGACCTGAGCCGAAGGCAGACGCTTAATGCCTGAGCCACCCAGGCACCCGAAATAGATTTTTCTTTAACAACAAAAAAAATTAAGTCTAGAATGTCAGTGATATCACTCATCAGACCTCATGTCCCTCATGTTCCAAAATTTAAGTCTGACAAACCTGTCAGGAAATCCTTCATGCATTATTTAATCCTCCTGTGCCCTTTAAGGTACATTCAGGATGGTTGGTTCTTCTGCAGCTGCATGTAATAAGATAGGAATGTAGGATAAAAGTCATTAAAGACAAATTTGCTACCAATCCATCAAGCCATGCCTTGTCCTTTTGTTTCCAGAAACTGAAATTTAAATGTACCTTCACTTTTTCTTTAATTTTCTCCTTTGAGAAGTTTATTTGCCTAGCTAGAGGAGGGGGGAGATTCCTAACCTCAGCCCATGTGATACTACTATTTGAATCAGAGATGAGTACTTAAACAATTTTGATTAAGGAAAAATGAATGACTTTAGCCAGACTCACTTTGCCTCACATTTGCTCATCTGCCCTGCCTAGTCCACAGGGTTGCCACATGATCACAAGGAATAATAGCAGCAATGGGGTGTTGGCAAAGGAAGGGGGAGAGCCTGAGAAGTAAGCTGCACTGATGATGAATATAATCTGTACTTACTATAAATTTTTTGCTGAACAGCATTCTTCAGACCTCAGAATCTTGCATGGGTTTGATTATGGTAAAATAAAGTAGATAACTGCAAAACTTTATCTTTGGGACTGAGGAGATGTAACCCAAATAATATTGAGGTTTAAAAGCAAGAAATATGGTTTACAAGAATCATGCACATTGCTCCTCCTATATCCTCAAAATCCTCCATAGATGGGAAAATGTAGAAGTTAGAGAATTTTGTTTTAATGTCTAACCTCATGAAATCCAATGTTCAAGAAAAGGACTCAAATAAAAATGTTATGAGATTTCATCTAAAATTTATACAACAGAATCCTTTTTGGAACAATATTGGCACAGGGAAAAGACGCTTAATCAATCAAACTCTTTGTAAGGGTCCTGTAACATTGGCAGTGGATGAATTAAAAAATGACCTAAGGTGTGGTCAAGCACCCTACAGAACAGTATCAGTCCTCAGATCCCAGACCTTAGACAACTCAGGGCCTCCCCATCGGTCTGTGGAGGAGACAATCTGAGTCCCAATATGAGCACAGGGGAGGATTCACCTCCACATAGATTTTCCACCAACTGATGACCTATTGTTACTCATGTCATTCTATTCCATTACATGAAGCTGGCATTTGGTCTAAGACTCTCACAGAGGCTCTGCCTTTCCTTCATAGTTCTATTTAAGAACTGTTACCAAGGTGCCTCAGTGACATTGTGTCCTCTTTTGTGTGTACCCTTCTCTTTTATCCAGCACCCTGACTTCCCAACCCTCTCCTCAAGAGTCTCTTCATTTCTTCTATTGCCATGTGTTCCAGTAGCACCACCCTTTGAGTTTCATACCTAGGCTTTGGCCAGATTCTTCCCTGGTTTTGGACCTCACCCATGTTGACACCTGGCCCCTTCCAGACTCAGCTTGCCCTGCTTACCATTTGGCTTCATTTGCTACATCTTTGGGTAACAGGCATGTCACCCTGCATCACCGCCCAGTTGGGTGCTCTTTTAGGCAGCCGTTAACTTTGCAGGCAGTGGCTCGTTCCTTGTATTAGACAGTCTTTCACTCTCATTTTTCCTCTGCTGTTCTCTCTTTTCTCCCTCCAGTGAAATGACAGTGAGCTATAGTAAAAAGCCTATGGAATTTGGAGTTAACAATGACTCCAGTTTGGATGCTGAATATTGAATTCCATGGTGCCACCTTGCTGTGCAACCTTGGCAATAGTTACATCTAAGCTTGGCTCTTCATCTATAAATTTGGGATGATAACAATCAGTGCATAAGTTTCTTATGATGGTAAAAAGATGTGTGAGGGCTAGTGTACAAGAGCCAGACATAAATTGACACATGAGCATGGCATGTTTGAAGGACAATGAGCTGAGTGTTCTAAAATCAATTGACTTTTTGTTGGCCTGACTCTTTCTGCCTGAATTGGATTTTTTTTTAAAACGCAGATATCTATCTTCTAACTCTGCTATATTATATTACTATGTCTTTGACATGGTCTGCTTTATCTTTTGTATTCCTTTCAGTAGTGCCTTGACCATCACAATTGGGTATTTCTTGGCTTGAGTGGAACAGAGAGTTCCTGCTGGAGTCATGGCACATAAACTTCCCAAAAGAGGGCTTCAGATGTTGGGAACCCTTGTAGGTTTTTGACCAGGAAATCTATAGCATGAAAGAAAGTTGTAGGAAAACCTGATACCAGTGTAACAGAACTGCTTGGAAGCAGGGAGGCTAGTGGTCAGAACATTTGACAGATCTGAGGCCCTACATGCTGTCGTCTGTGAGGTTTTGTACAAATTGTTTAGCTCTTCAGCTTTCATTTCCTTGTCAGTATACTGGGGATATTATATCTTCCCCACAGCACTGACAGGAGGATGTATGGGAGAATCCATGATACTTGATTATCACGGTATCTGGTATGGAGGGCCTGCTCAACACACATTAACTGTGAGGGTCTTAATGTTTCCTTTAAACATCTTCTGAAGCTGTTCTCAATCCAGAGTGTTCCTATTAAAATGCCAATCATATCACATCATTCTGCTCAGAGCCTTCCAATAACCCCTTCCATTCAATGGGAAGGTCACGATCCTTGTAGACACCAACTCAAACGCACTATTTCCTTTCTCAGCTCTATTTCCTTTTTCCCTGAACATGCAAAGCCTCTTTACAAAACATTTAATTTAATTATTTGGTATGCTTACTGTCTATTATCCGTCTTTCCCTACTAGAGTGTAAGCTCCGTAAGGGAGGTGTATTCTGTTCACTGTTAGGTCAGTGCTCTAGATTAGTGCCTGGCCAGTGTAAGTGCCTTTTGTTGAATGAATGAATGAATGAATGAATGAATGAATGAATGAATTTCCCACAGCCAGAGGTAGATGGTCTCTACCTCTTCTAAGGGCCTATATGACTTTGATGGCTATTCTCTTATGCTACTTATTATAGTCTAAATTATGCTGTGGTATTTTGAGATTTGCCTCAGTCCCTTAACCAGAGTGTAAGCTCCCTGATTGGGAATGGTGTCCTCCGCCAGTTTGTGTTACCCCCAAAGCCTAGCACTCAGTCATTAGTGCTCTTTTTGGGGAAAAATACCTCTGGAATTCTGGACAATGTTCTCTGTCTTCACTTCACTCCTCTCTTCACCATTTCTTTACTAAGATTAAACCTTATTATCAAAAATTAATTGGTTAAAGATCTGGTCTTTCATTTTCAAGAGCAAATGAATTTAATAAATACCACTTAATAAAATCCATTAATAAGTGGTCAAATTTAATTTCTGAACATAATACTTACATTTTCTTCTCAGGAGAAATAAAAACTCGTGCAATGGCCACCTTCTTTAACGTGGTGTGAGTATCAGAGTGAGACGGATTCAGTGGCAGAAGCAGCTCCACGGTGGGCACCCTCTCCACCTGTTTCCCCTTCCCTCCACGTGGCTGCATTGCACAAGGATGGAAGTCAGGCTCCCGCACCCCCTCCTTCACCTGGGCCGCCTCTGTGCTGCCTATCCTAAAGCAGTGTGGCTTAAGGGCAAAATCAAAAGAAGTGGAAAAGAGCCATTTAAGGAAAGAAGCAGACAAAAAATACAATTCTGTCTCTCTCTATTACCTAGGGAATTACAAAAATGTGCTTAAAAGGACATTTCTCTTATTTGGATGCTAACCTTCCTCAGCTTTTTGCCCAACTCGTGATCCCAGTAACTGATGTCTATTAAAATTTGGGCTTGTGTAAAATTAAAGAAGAAATTCCTGAACTTGAGCTTCCCACACAAATAGCATGAACAAGCCCTCAGGCAGCATCTATGGCGTTGAAGAAAGAAAAAGAAGGGCCCTCTTGCACCTCTGACAGAGGCACACTGAGAGTCCCTGGGACCCGAGTTCATCACTGCAGCCCCCGGGGACCTCCTGGAAGACAGGTGTGCAGAAGGCAATGTTTACTTGCTGCCATCCTCCTTTCTCAACCCTGAAGTCCTGTCACTTTTATTTGATATTTCTATTTGAAACTCTTGTGTTCTCCTCAGGACCCCCAAGGGCACAGGGAGGTCTGCATGCTTCTCTTGGTCCCTCAGGGGTACACTGCCCTCTGTGACACGCTCAGGGACTCACGCTTGGAACGACACGCATTTCCCAGGCTGCTGGGCAGACATACTGGCCGGAGGGCTGTCGGCTTCAAAGGCCCGGATGAGCCCCTGTGGCAGGTCAGCCCCTGGAAGTGCCTTGGATGGGAACAGACACCTGGACAAACACAAAGGAAGCAGGATGGTTCTTTTTTCCTGCTGCCCATCTCCCTGAGTGAGATGTGTCAGAACTACCTTCTCATGGCTCACAACATAAAGAGGCTTTTGTGTTGTTGGGGGCCGGGGAAGATGGTGCACGTTGGATGAGAAGCTTCTCGGTGCTAGTCTTTCATCTTTAGACTCTGAGCCAGCCAGTGCATCTGGACCTTGCCGTGTCCAGCAGGGGTCGGCCCCTCATTGGTCCCTTGCCCTGTCACAGCTAACTCTGCCTGTCGTGGGAGATTCTCAGCCAAATGGCCATTGACTGATCTTCCACAGAGTGTGTATGTATCACTTTTCAAAAGCACTGGGCTCAGTGCCTGATCCCGTAGGAACACAACAAATATTTGTTGAACAAACAAATGAGAAACTCTAGAACAATTCTAGAACAAAGCTATATTTTGAGGAGTTGGACCAGTTGTCTCTGTTGGGATTCTTACCCTCCACCCCCTGACCTCCCAAAAGGCAGACTCTGAAACACGGATGTGAGTGAAAATAGTTCATTTGGGAAGTGATCCCGGAAACACCGATGAGGGAATAAGGAAGTGGGACAGGCAAGGGAAAGCAGCCAACAGAGGCTGCCTCATTTAGCAAATTGCCTCTGTGGGCAACTGGAGCGTAGCCCGGCTGGCGAGCTCAGGGAGGCACGGAGGGACATCCTCCTCAGAGGGACCTTCCCCAGAGAGTGAAGGGGCCCAGGTATGTAGGTATTATCCTTCAGCTCCTGTCAGGCATTGACAAGGACGGCTCTCAGGGGCATCGTCAATCCCAGCCTGCTTTGTGCAGAGTGTGCTCTGGGCCACAGAAAGCCTTCCAGCGGTTGGAAGTCAGGCTGGTGGGCGCGTAGATGGTGGAGGGCATTTGCAGTGTCTGCAATACCATCCCACCTACTCCAGTTTCCTTTCCCTCCACGTCCTCTGTATGATTAGCTGTCAGGGGACACCGAAGGCCACTGGCTCCTCCAGCTCTAAAGATAATAGTAAGTTCCAGAGACTACACCCTAGTCAGACGAGTCACTGTCTTGTTACTATTATATTGGTGGTGTGGCTAATACACATATGCATTTCAGCAAACCACAGGCTAACTTTCTTGCAGTTCATTTTGGTTGCCTGTGATTCTCTTGCCTTTGTTTCCAAACAACATCTGTGTTTTAGTACTCACGGGATTGAAGAAACAATGCTTGCGTTTAAAATTGGAGGGGTTGGGAGGTTTAAAGAATAGTAGTGTTATCATTCAGAGGAATTGAACATATTTAATGGCATTATCATGTCATTTCCACCCAAACCTGACATATTGGACCCATGACAAACCTTAGATATTGTTTAAATGAGCTCGTTTTATAGACAATGAGACCAACCAGCAGAGAGGTGAAATGATTTGTCCAAGGTCACACAGCTGGTTAGAGGCAGGACAAGATGAAGTCCTCCTTGCCCCGTCCCTGTCCCTTTGCCCTACTGCTGTTTGCTCTAACCATCTCCAAGGTGTTAGTCTTCACAAAATCTCCGGGAGGTAGGGGTCTGGGTAGTCAAAAACTATACACTACAAACTTTACCCTCCCCCAAAAGTAATTTCTTTGATTTTTTTTTTTTTAATAACTGATCTCATCTTGGTCCTAGAACTTCATTCATACACCGCCCCCCCCAAAGTTTCAGTGTAAAATAACGGAGTTTCCCAGGGACTGATTCACGAGGCTAATGGTTTTACTTTGTCAACAGCCCAAAATGAGTTACTTACATTTCTCATGTTCATGCAGAAACTCCTTTGCTGGCCACCCTGGCTATCTGAACATTGGTGACATTTATTCTGAGTGTCCTCCATCTCCACGGAAGTTCCAGGTCTCTCTTCTGATTACAACATTGGAGATCTTTTTAAGAGACAGATATGTTTTTTGACACAGTGTCATGTTAAATGATTACCATCCTGTGACACATCTAAAAGAATAAACCGATCAGTCTGGTCCAAGCAGAGAGCTGGCTGTGCAAGAAATAAGAGGCAGGGGGGAGAGCCAGGGTGTTGGGGGAGGTGGGGTGAGAGGGAGAGCAGAAGGAGGTGCGGGAAAGATGCTTAAAGCATGAGGGACTTCCAAGAAGGGCAGGCATGGCCAGGACTGAGCAGCAACCCAGTGTGAGGGCCCTGGAAGATTGGGAAAGGGAGCTTTGAGTAGGATGGAGTCCAAAGGCATGTAGCAGAACCACTTCCTATGCAGTGACCACTGGGGGCAGGGTTGGGGGGTGGGGATAACGCTTAGACAGGCAGAGAGAATATTGATTGAGGCTGGTGCTCACCATCTTCAGAGCCAAGAGGTGGCCTTCTAATCCTGTCTGCACTCACATGGGAGCCAGACCCCCTCTCCTGATGCCCATCCAAAACTCATCATGCCAGGCACAGATGGCATTACCCATCAGTGCCCAAGGGCCAAGGGGTAAGTTTCAAGGCCTGTGCAGTCCTCTTGGAGCTGTGATTTCCTTTGATTCTCTTGTTCTTGTTCTATCCGAGTGGGACTTCTGTTCCCATTCTGAAGGCCACTGTTAAGTCCTATTCACTCTCAATGGCTCATTTAGTTCAGTGGGGGTTTGGGTTTTTAGAAGGTTTCCTCTTTTAAATTCTTTTTTTTCTACCCCCCTCCTTTCTTTAAAAAGGGGTCATAAAGAGCTTTAAGATGCCATGCATGAAAAGCTCTGGATAAATGCAGCTTGTACTGGATTGTAAAATACTGTATTGTTCCAAGCTTAATTCCTTGTGTGAGACTGGAATTGGTAATTTGCTCGTCCTGAGGCAGAGGCCTAGCAGCGGGTTGCAGACTGAGCGCAAGGATGGGCGCAAGGATGGGCGCCCCTGGGGACCGCAAGGGAAACCGGAGGTCTCCAAGGGAAATTCTCCTTTTGGTCCAGATTTGGTTTTCCTGACTTTTGCATTAAGGTAAAAGAACATTTTCATGAAAAAAACATAGCTCTGCTCTCTGAAGTGGCACTTTGGGGGCTGGATCGGGTGCTATCTATGGTTACACAGATTTCTAAATCAGAGAAAGGACCTCCTCCCAACCTTCCTGCTCTAAAAACTCTCCCTGGCTAGTTTGTATGTGGGGGGAGTCCCCCATGTCTGAGTGATGGAGACAGTTGGCTCTGAAGGTCCTTTTCCCTCCCTTGGCATCCAGGATGAGAGGCTGCCCAGTTTCAGGCCAGCAGGATGACTGAGTTTCCCTCCCATCTGCCATGCTTATCCCTGCCTCCTTGTCATTGACTCCTTTAGTCCTTGCCTGGAGTACTCCCCTCCCCCTCTTCTTCTCTGGCTAGATTGTGCCTCTCTGCTTTCAAGCTACCCTTCTGCATAAAACTCTTATTCCAACTCTGCTGAGCTCCCTCCTCTCTGATCTCTGCGGTAGCCATAGTCATGATTGCACATTTTAACCCCCAGGCCCTTGCAGAGCAGCTTACAGAGCATTATTTGTGACTGGAGGATGTCTTGTTTTAGGGTCACACCTATCACCTTAAGTAATTTATGGAAGTGTTTCGTCTAAACAAATCCCATGCTATCTCCACGAATAATCCCAGGGAACCCTTCTCAGTACTGATATTGTGAGAATAAGGAATTTACTCTCCTTATTCTCACAGTATCAGTACTGAGAAGGGTTGAGTTTGCCATCTCTGGATCCAATTATTAAAAGCGTCCATCAGAGAACGCAGCCACTAACTGGGGGTCGGAGAAGTTCCAAGTATCTCCTGCCCCCAGCCTTAGCCCCGTGGGATACCAAGAGTGAGGTCTGGGCCCCCTGGACATCTGGGCATGAAAAAGTAAACAGATCTCCCAGACACGGAGCTCCCGCCCCCCTCCCCATCGGGAGCTGTTCACGTGCCCGTCGCTGGCCAGGGGCTGCCCCTCTGTCCCAAGCTTCCAGCTGCTTGATTCAATTCCTTTCCATGCCTTCTTCCTGCCTCACAGAAATAGCAGTTTTACAGTCATGTCATTTTGGCACAGCAGAGATTTCATGTTAAGAAAAAATAGAATCGGTGCTGGGTCATTGCTATTGAAACTATCACACCATTTTATACTTGCTCTGAAAGGGCCCTCCTCTCAACTCCCGCTCCCAGGCTCCCCTCTCTTGTGTAGCCTTTTGTGCGGCTCCTTTGGTTTTTCTGCTCTTCAGATGTGCACACAGTTTAAATAACATTCCTTCCTGAATTTGTCCCTTCATTTCCCCAGCTTCTGTGCTTGGGGGCTCTCCAGCTCCCATCCTTTTTCTTTCTTGCTAATGTTCTCTCCTCTATCCTTTGTGGACAGGCCAATTTATTCAGCACTGGCCTCCCCCTTCCTCTCCTCCCTGTTTTCCATTCCTCACACTCCTCCTGACAAACACTCCCCAAACAGTGTGTGTGTGTGTGTGTGTGTGTGTGTGTGTGTGTGTGTTTGGGATCTGGGAGAATAAAATCTATTCTGAAGAATAGATATCCCTGAAGAGGTGGAAAGCAGTGTTCCCACCCTGAAGAGGTGGGAAGAAGTTTCTCCTCCTCCCCCACAATTTCTCTTAAATGTCCAGTGTGGCCAGTCTGGACACAGGCTCAATTTTATGCATAGGTTAAGGGCTGTGTGATTTGCAGGGTGCTGGGAAGGCCACGGCAGCAGGCACTCTTGGTTGCCTGCCCATCAGCCATTTCTCCCTTTCTCCTTCCTAACTGCACCCGGACTGTTTCTCAGGTGCCTGTTGCTCAGCTTTGGGCTCCAGAGGAGGTGGGCTCGAGCCCCATTGCTGTGAATCATGATTGGTCTAACTGATCTTGAGCGTTCCATTCCCCCTGTCCCTGATTGGTGTAGGCATGGGTATGTGAAACAAATCTATCCAATGAGAATGAAGAAGTCAGCTGGGGGCGGGGGGCATCTGGGAAAGATTGTCCTCTATCTTTAAAAGATAACACAGAGAAATAAAAGTCCTTCTTTTTTTTTTTTTTTTTTTTTTTTTTTTTTTTTTTTTTTTTTTTAATTTTTTTATTCTTATGTTAATCCCCTTACATTACAACATTAGTTTTAGATGAAGTGTTCCATGATTCATTGTTTGTGCACAACACCCAGTGCTCCATGCAGAATGTGCCCTCCTAAATACCCACCACCAGGCTAACCCATCCTCCCACCCCCCTCCCCTCTAGAACCCTGTTTGTTTTTCAGAGTCCATCGTCTCTCATGGTTCGTCTACCCCTCCGATTTCCCCCGCTTCATTCTTCCCCTCCTGCTACCTTCTTCTTCTTCTTCTTCTTTTTTTTTTCTTAACATATATTGCATTATTTGTTTCAGAGGTACAGATCTGAGATTCAACAGTCTTGCACAATTCACAGCGCTTACCAGAGCACATACACTCCCCAGTGTCTATCACCCAGTCACCCCATCCCTCCCACCCCACCCCCCACTCCAACAACACTCAGTTTGTTTCCTGCGATTAAGAATTCCTCATATCAGTGAGATCATATGATACATGTCTTTCTCTGTTTGACTTATTTCACTCAACATAATACCCTCCAGTTCCATCCACGTTGTTGCAAATGGCAATATCTCATTCCTAAAAGTCCTTCTTGATGCCGTGGTATGTTGTCTGGAAGCTGTGATGTTGAGAGCTGCTATAGCTATCTTGAAAACATGAGAAGACAAGCCCCAGGGAAAAGCCATTCTGCTGAGAATAGCAGAAAAGAAATATGAAAAGGAGTTGAGTCCTTGATATCCTTGTACTGCAGAAGCTGTCTTACTCTGGATTTCTTGTTTTTGAGATAATAAACCCCCTCCCTTTTAAGTCATTTGTCTTTAGTATTTTCTGTTCCTTGCAACTTAAAGAATCTTTAAACACATAGCTTTTCTGACCTAAAATGTTTCCTCTCCATATATGCCATCTCTCCCCTGTTTAGCTTGTGTGAGATACACAGATCATAATCATAATAACAATAGCTACTAATTTCATATCTCTTTTCATGTGCCAGGCACTGTTCTAAATGCTTAAAATAAAGTAATTCATTAAACCCTTATAAAGAGCTCTAAGATAAGCACTCTTTTTTTTTTTTTAAAGATTTTATTTATTTATTTGAGAGAGAGAATGAGAGAGAGCATGAGAGGGAAGAGAGTCAGAGGGAGAAGCAGACTCCCCACTGAGCAGGGAGCCCAATGTGGGACTCAATCCAGGGACTCCAGGATCATGACCTGAGCCGAAGGCAGTCGCTTAACCAACTGAGCCACCCAGGTGCCCTAAGATAAGCACTCTTATTATTCCCATTATACAGATAAAGAAACTGCAGCATAGGAAGATTGAGAAAATTGCCAAAGATCCCACAGCTAGTAAGAGGCAGTGATGTGGTCTGAATCTGGGCAGTCTGGCACCAGAGTCCATCCTCTTAACAATGACTCCATTAGCTTCCAGGAGTTGAGCGGACTGGGAACTCTGGACTCTGGTTCTCCTGCAAGGGGCACATGTACTCTGTCCCCATCTGGGGTCAAGTTAGCTGCCTTGCCCTCCCTTGAATGAGGAGCACTCTTTGTACCTCCTCATGAGTGTCTCTTCTCCAAGGCGAGGAAGCCCATGCCAATTTTGTGAGAATCAGGATTGGTGGCTGCCTCACTTCTCTGCAGCTGACGGTGTTGTGGCCAGTGCCCATCAGGTGTCTGGAAATGTGATCCAGAGCCACCATTCTTATGCATTCTTTATTGCTATCACCAGGATGAGTTGAACTAGACATTGGACAGCCTAAAGGCTAGCCCAGAGCCAGACCTGGGGAACCTTCTCCCTTTCCCCTGGCCTCAAGCTCAGATTCTTTTAAGATCCCTCTGTAACTTAAGGACCCCTGACTCTTGACCTCACTCAGTGGCCCCAGTCTGTAGGACATGGAGTTTTGTTATTAAAGGGCCTTTAAAACCCTCCTGGTCCCATCTCCTCCCACCTCCTCTGTATCCCTCAGCATCC